TATTATTGAGTTGTAAATGCCCATTATATAATTCAAACACACGTGCTTTGCCAGATATATAATTTGTAAACATATTTTCCCATTCTGCAGTTTGTCTTCAATTTCTGAATAGTGTTCTTTGAAGCAAATGTTTTTATTTTGATGATCAACTTATTTTTTCTCTTCCTGCTTGTGCTTTTGGTATCATAACCAAGACACCATTGCCAAATGCAAAGGCCATCAAGATGTTTCAGCTTTTACTTCAGTCCTTGATCCTCTCTGTGTTAATTTCTGTATATTAACTCAATGTGACATGGGGTCCAACTTCGTTCTTTTACAGGCAGACATCCAGCTATACCTGTACCATTCATTGAAAACACTACTGTTTCCCTCACTTAATTATTTTGGCATCTTTGTCAAAAATCAATTGATCAGGGTGGGCATTACTGAAGAGCTGGTTCAAAGATGTCTTTGTTTTATTTTCTTCTTTCTCTCTTTGCCTTTCAAGTAAACATTTTTGAAAAGTCAACTGACCATAAATGCATAAATGCATGTCAATTCTATTCTATTGATCCACATGTCTGTTTTTACTAAGTATCACATTGTCTTAATTATAACACAGTTTTGGAGTAAGCAGTGAAAAGCAGAAATATGTGAGTTATCCAACTTTTTAAAAAATGTTATTTATTTTAAAGACAGAGACACGGATGACAGAAGCATGGAGATCTTTCAACTACTGCTTCATCTGCAACAGTCAGGGATCTGTGAGGCTGCAGTCAGGAGTCTCCAACTCAATTCAGGTCTCCCTGGTCAGGGGCAGAGATCCCTGTACTTGAGCTGTCACCTGCCGCCTACCAGGGTGTGCATTAAGGAAGAAGCTGGATTGCAAGTGGAGGAATGGGGACTCGGAACCAGGCACTCCAACACAGGAAGCAGGAGTCCTAAGCAATGGCTTGACCCATTCCTCCACATCGCCTGCTTCATTTAACTATCATGCAAATTTGATTAATAAATAACGGTTTAAATTGAGAGAATAAAAGGATTCTAATTTAAACTGCAGGAAAGTTTGTATCTCTGAGAAAGTCCGGTTTTACTATTTCTGTAAGAAGAAAAAAATACTACTTTAGGAAGACAAACTAAAAAGAATTTTCAAAATGGGAAAAATTACTTTTACTGATCATTCAACACCTTTTGATTATGTAAGGTTTAATTGTTTTGTTTTGTTTAGCCATTAGCACAAAGATAAACTTGGTATAGCAGAATTCAATAGCCTCTGAATCCTGGTTATTATTAAGTAGTAGATTACACAATCCATTTCAAAACATTTTTTAAAATATTTATTTATTTGAAAGGCAGAGTTACTGGGGGGAAGGGGAGGGCCTGCCAGAGAGAGAGACAGAGAGAGAGAGACACAGAATATCTTTCACCCATTGGTTCCATCCCCAAATGGCTGCAACAGCTAGGGCTGGGCCTGGCTGAAGCCAGAAGCAAGGAGCCAGGAGTTTCATCTGGGTCTCCCTTGTGGGCAGCAGGAGCCCAAATGCTTGGGGCATTTTCTGTTGCTTTCCCAGGAACATCAGCAGGGAGCTGGATAAGAAGTGGAACAGCCAGGGCCGGCGCTGTGGCACAGCAGGTTAAAGCCCCAGTCTGCAGCACCAGCATCCCATATGGGTGCCGGTTCCAGTCCTAACTGCTCCACTTCTGATCCAGCTCCCTGCTGTGGGCTGGGAAAGCAGTAGAAGATGGCCCAATTCCTTAGGCCCCTGCATCCACATGGGAGACCCGGAGGAAGCTCCTGGCTCCTTGTTCGGATCGGCGCAGTTCCAGCTGTTGCAGCCATCTGAGGAGTGAACCAGCAGATGGAAGAACTCTCTCTCTCTCTGCCTTTCCTTCTCTTGCTGTGTAACTCTGACTTTCAAGTAAACAAATAAATCTTTAAAAAAAAAAAAGGAAGTGGAACAGCCAAAACTTAAAATGGTGCTCACATGAGATACCTGTGTTGCCAGAGGCTTAACCTGCTGTGCCACGATGCTGGCCCTATTAACAAGGTCTTTACAAAAAAATTTTTATCTTGAGGCAAGCATTGTGCTTGGTAGCAGGTTAAGCTACTGCCTGAGATGCCAGCATCCCATAGGGGCACTGGTTTAAGTGCTGGCTGTTCCATTTCCAGTCCAGCTCCCTGTTAATGTGCCTGGGAAAGCAGTGGAAGATGGCCCACATACTTGGGCCACTGCCACCCAGAAGGGAGACAGGTGAAGCTCCTGGCTTCAGCCTGGCTCAGATCAGCCCTGGCCACTGCAGACATTTTGGGGGAATGTACCAGCAAATGGAAAATCAATCTCTCTCACTCTCTCTCTCACTGTCCCCCCTCTAACTCTGCCATTCATTTAAATAAATCTTTTAAAACAATGTTCTATCTCGGGGCCAGTGATGTGGTGTAGTGGCTAAGGCCGCCACCTGCAGTGCTGGCATCCCGTGTCGGCACTGGTTTCAGTCTCAGCTGTTCTACTTCCAATCCAGCTCTCTGCTATGGCCTGGGAAAGCTGTGGAAGATGGCCCAAGTCCTGGGCCCCTGCACCCACATGGGAAACCCAGAAAAACTCCTGGCTCCTGGCTTTGGATTGGAGCAGCTCTGGCCGTTGCAGCCATATGGGGAGTCAACCAGTGATGAAACATTCTCTCTCTCTTTCTGCTTCTCTGTAACTCTGCCTTTCAAATAAATAAATGCATCTTTAAAAAAAAAAAAAAAAAAAAAAAAAACCTCTATCTCTAGCTTAGAGTAATAAAAGAAACCTAATTTAACATCTGGGCTCATGCACAGTGGTTTTCTAGCTCATCAAGGGTTAGCACGAGACATGAGTCAAATTCCCTCCAAGTGCCGCGTTCAGTGCTATCACCCATCCTTGAGAGGCTTCTGAGCTTCTACGCAATCTTCTCGCATGTCAGGACTGCTCTGCCGCTTTTCTCTGAAGCAGACTGTCTTTACTGTGAATCTAATCTTTCATCATAATTAAGATGATGCACATATTAATAATTTTCTTTAGCATTAACTATTTGGACTGTTTTGTGTTACACAGTATAACAGAAAAGCATAAAATATCTTAGAAATACAGATGTGAATCATGAAAATAATTATAAATAAAAGTCAACATGCTTTCTACAGTTTTGGGTTTATCATGATAAGCTGAATAATATTTTCTCTCAGCGTCCAGCCACTTTTGTCTCTTAATTAACTCTGCCACTGAAGCCAAGTAAACAATCACAGCTCTCCCTTCTGTAGCCTAAAAGCAAATAACAGGCCGGTGCCATGGCTCACTTGGCTAATCCTCCACCTTGCGGTGCCGGCACACCGGCTTCTAGTCCCGGTCAGGGCGCCGGATTCTGTCCCGGTTGCCCCTCTTCCAGGCCAGCTCTCTGCTGTGGCCCGGGAGTGCAGTGGAGGATGGCCCAAGTGCTTGAGCCCTGCACCCCATGGGAGACCAGGATAAGTACCTGGCTCTTGCCATCGGATCAGCACAGTGTGCCGGCCGCGGCGGCCATTGGAGGGTGAACCAACAGCAAAGGAAGACCTTTCTCTCTGTCTCTCTCTCTCACTGTCCACTCTGCCTGTTCAAAAAAAAAAAAAAAAGCTAATAACAGTGCCACAGTGTGGAAAACTTCACACCAACGAGCCCTGACTTACTACCGCGCACAGCTAACCTGCCTCTTCTCATGATGCCAACTTCAAACCGAAGTAGCTCAACACACACATGTCAGAAGAAGTGCTAGAGCATCATGCTTTTTATCAGGCCACTGATGCCTCTCACAGCAGCTAAGCTAATAAACTCGGGAAGTACATTTTGACACCTGGACATTCTTAAGGAATTTTCAAAATAATTAATTTCAGAGGCAGAAGGAGAGAGGGAGAGGGAGAGGGAGGAGAGGGGGGAGAGGAGGGAGAGGAGGGAAAGGGAGGAAAGGGGGTAGAGGGAGGAGGGAAAGGGAGAAGGGAGAGAGGGAGAGAGGGAGAGAGGGAATGGATCACAAAATTAAAAGAAAAACCTTCAGTGCGTGAACCGGTCTCATTTCTTTGTGAATGTGACCACCACACAAGAACGTCAGGTTCTCCAGAGGCACCGTCTGGCACAGCCAGCCATGTCAGAAGCGGATGGTGAGCAGCTGAATTCGCACGAATCCTTACCTTTGGTATTTTCTCACTTTGATCAAGAAACTCCTATTCCTCCAGTCTCACCAGGTTTTACTTAAGCCAAGGAGCTTCAATCATCAACTGAAAGTCACTTGCTCTCCAAACACAATGACACTGCCATGCAGCTCAGTTATCAAGAGGGAGATGTACAGAAAGACAAAATTCATTATTCTAACTAGATAACAACAGCTTCCTTGGGTTCAGGCCAAAAATACAGAAGCAGACAAAGTAAGTAGCAACTCGTAGCGGTATTTTTCTGGCCATCCCAAATCACAGATTTTTAAACATCCCATTCATACTGTAAACACTGAAATCTCATTTTAACAGTTTCCATTATGGACCAGAATTCTACTAATGCACCTCTGTCATGGACTCCATCTAAGGAGCTCAGTTCTCCACAGCAACAAGCATGTCACCAGGAGGTCAACCCAGCCCCAGACTGTATCGCAACATGAAATGAGGAGTTCATGTTTTTCTGCGGCTTCAGATAACTTGTTTTAAAAGAACAGTTATGTACCACAGTTATCAAGCATGTGGAGGTACAAAGTGCTCTCCTCTTCAGCAGAGGCGAAAGTATTACTTCTCAGTAACACAAAAGAAAAATCAATCGGGTACCAGGAAACAGGCTGGGAAAGTGGTTGACTCTAGGGATGTAGTTCCTAGTTAGCAAAAGAGAACCAGTGCTCCCCACTCACCTTCAGCTTCCTCGACAGAAGGGGCAGATGCACATCTATGCCCTAATTCACAAGACTAGAGGCACTGAAGAGTGAAAAATGGGTTGAAAGACTCATAGATAATTCCAAGATTGCCAAGCATACCGAGAAATAAAACTCACAGAGAATGTTGATCCACTGTTTGAGGCTGTGACAGTATAATCTTCATCATGCAATTTTATTGAGAGCTCCCACTTAACCGTGTCCAATTTAACAACAGGAACTCTGAAGTAGAAAGAGAAGAAAGAGTTAGTCGTTTTCATTATTCTCTCTCAATAAACTATTTTCCTTTGACATTAAGAGTGTGGGGTAAAACTGCCAAGAATGTATTTCAGAACACTTTATGTCACAAGGCTCCACTCTTGGAAAAAGCTTTCAGGTTTAAAATAGAGGTTTTTTATTTTCTTTTGTTTTTAAGAAGATACACCAAAGGCAACAGCAGTCATTTTGACATAACCATGCTACCGTCATCTATCCTGAATACCAACATCCATTCTGTGATTCTGAGCTGCTTAATTATGATGGCCCTTCACAAATTATTCTTCCTCAAACTATGCTATCCTTTCCAATATTTGGTTATTGTTAAGATAGTTTCATTTTTGGGGCCGGCGCTGTGGCACAGCGGGTTAACGCCCTGGCCTGAAGCACTGGCATCCCATATGGGTGCCGGTTCTAGTCCTGGCTGCTCCTTTTCCAATCCAGCTCTCTGCTATGGCCTGGGACAGCAGAAGATGGCCCAAGTCCTTGGGTCCCTATGCCTGCGTGGGAGACCCGGAAGAGACTCCTGGCTCCTGGCTTCGGATCAGCGCAACTCCAGCCACTGCAGCCAATTGGGGAGTGAACCACTGGATGGAGGACCTCTCTCTCTCTCTCTCTCTCTCTCTCTCTCTCTCTCTCTCTGCCTCTCCTCTCTATGTAACTCTTTCAAATAAATATTTAATAAAAAAAAGTGTTTCATTTTTAATTAAAATACAATCTTTAAGCTTAAGCAATCCTTAAGCTTCAGAGACAGAAAACACACTATTGAATCAGCATGATTTGACTGAAGAGAAATATTTTGATTTATTTTCTTGGTAATCAACTAGACTAAAAATATATTAAGCAATGGAAGCAGGGATTTAGCCTGGTGCTTAACATGTCCACATCCCACATCAGACCGCATAGGGTTAACTCTTGGCTCTGGCTCCTGACTGTAGCTGCCTGTTAGGCATGTGCTGGGAGATAGTAGTGACGGCTTGAGTAATTGAGTTCCCAAGCAAGTGGCACCCTCTCGCTCTATGTACAAATCTTTCTCTACTTCTCAAACAAGATTTACTCAAAAAACCAAAATGAATGAACCCCCATGCATTATGCTACTTACAAAATAGAATATAATAATATAGAATGTTCCTTCATGGTATCAATGAGAAAAAAAAAATCTTGGTCTAGTAGATGGGAAATAAGCTAACTATTTTTGTGAAAACATTACTTATTTCATAATGATAATGTTACTACAAATTTACCAAATTTTAAAAACTGATTTTAAAAAGTAATCAAATACCAATTTTATGAGCTCTCACATAAAAGGATGATAAACAGCTTTGCCAAAACAAAATATAAGGCTGGCACCGTGGCTCAACAGGCTAATCCTCCACCTTGCAGTGCCAGCACACCGGGTTCTAGTCCCGGTCGGGGCGCCGGATTCTGTCCCGGTTGCCCTTCTTCCAGGCCAGCTCTCTGCTGTGGCCAGGGAGTGCAGTGGAGGATGGCCCAAGCTTGGGCCCTGCACCCCATGGGAGACCAGGAGAAGCACCTGGCTCCTGCCTTCGGATCAGCGTGGTGCACCGGCCGTGGCGGCCAATGGAGGGTGAACCAACGGCAAAAAGGAAGACCTTTCTCTCTGTCTCTCTCTCTCACTGTCCACTCTGCCTGTAAAAAAAATAAAAAATACAAACACAAAAAAGTAAAACCAAAAAACCTAAATGAATTATGAGTTCAACAAATACCAAGTGTTTGGCACTAGGTTTTGGGGCACCAAAGGAAAATAAGACATGGTTCTCCTGACTCTTCTGACACTGACTTCTCCTGTCACCTGGAATGCAGACCAGGGCTCTGTGTCTGCGTGTGTTTGGACAACACCAGCACGGCAACATGGCTCCTTTCATGCATGTGATCAGTACAAAAGGACCAGAAACCCAGTCCAGTCCAAATATAGCCAATACTGTATTCTAAATATATTTAGAATACAAATAGGTTTCCCACAATTTTTTAAAAAATAACAGAAATTTAATACTTGCAGATTTTACCCATTTTTTAAAAAAAGATTTTTTTTTATTTGTTTGAAAGGCAGAGTTACAGAGAGGCAGAGACAGACAGAGAAAGAGGTCTTCAATCCACTAGTTCACTCCCCAAATGGCCAAAATGGTCAAAATGGCCAGAGCTGTGCTGATCCAAAGCCAGGAGTCAGCAGCTTCTTCCAGGTCTCCGACACGGGTACAGGCACCCAAGGAGTTGGGCCATCTTCTACTGCTTTCCCAGGCCACAGCAGAGAGCTGGATTGGAAGTAGAACAGCCAGGACTTGAACCAGTGCTCATATGGGTTGCTGGCCTGCTTTACCTGCTATGCCACAGTGCCGGCCCCAATTTTACCTAATTTAAGTATTACATTTTGTAGTATCCTGGCTCTACCTTAATACACAGTTCTGAAAGAGCATGGCAGGTTATGCTTCATTTAAATCCTCCAAATCGCAAGAGTTCTCTGTGTATTCAGTAAAAAAAGGTCACAAACACTATGGTTATAAGCCAATCCCCTCTAGTCACAATGTCTAATGGATGCTGCTGTACACTTTAGAGTGACTATTTGTGTTTGGTCCACTTCTTCTTGATGTGCTTTCTGAAGATGAGAGAATGATGTTTCCAGTACTTTAGAAGTAAAAACGAAAGTTACAAAAATGCATGAAGTAAGGCAGGAATACACTGCAGCACAGGTCTGGAAGACCCTCTTCCGGCCATTTGAAGAGGACTGTCCCCGAGGACCAAGCGCCACCCAGGGGAACGAATGAAAGGCAGCGAGGAGGGCAGCACCCAGGAGAGACTGGGGTGGGGGGATGGGCAGGGAGAGGGGGGCTCCCTTCCAGACTCATGCTCCACAGGGCATTTGCTTGGCTGGTCTGCAAGCTCCTCAAAGACCAAGCTCATTCTTTGTTTTTACACTCTCAGCTCTTGACACAAGTAATGGAAAAGGGCTGAGGGATGAGCAGGGAGCGTGCGCAGGGGAGGAGGCAGAATCGCCAGAGGGCGGAGCACAGCAAGCAGAGGCGGGCGGCACAAGCTCCTGGCCCTCCCTGGGTGACCACAGACCCACACATTCCTCACCTTCGACACACCCAGTCTGGGGTAACCCGAGAAGGAGAGACAGGCTGCACTCAGTCATGGCCCTCTGGACTTGACAAGGCCCGGGCTCCAGCTCTGCTGTGGCTGCAAACCAGGAGCAAGCAGTGGCGGGATCCTAACAGCAAGCGACACCCTAAAGCTCTGCTAGGGACGTCCCCAACCCACACACAGCACACACAGGCCCGGAATAGCCCAATGTGGCTGATACGTGACCTTCCAAGGGATGGCGGAAGTAGGCAACACGGGCATTTGGAATGTGTCCTAGGCCAAAAAAAAAAAAAAAAAGGCACCTATACAGAACACCATACATGGAGCAAAGAAAAGTGCCCTGTACCAGATCCACGCCCAGCACACATCAGGGCCTCAGGGCCTCAGGGGAAGCACTGCACTTCCCCAACCCAACAAAAGTACCTCTTCAGGTCCAGTCAAGGGGCCAGTGGTGGAACCTCTTCCGGCCGCCTTGCACCCCTCCTGCTCAAACACAACCCCCTCCCCATATTTCCTGTCTGGGTTGCACACATGCCTCTAGGCAATCTCCCTTCTGGCTTACTTCGCCAAGAAGCTTGGGCTCAGGACAGAGGGCCTCATGGCTAGACTACTGTGCAACCTGGCCTTCTTCAATCTCTGCTCTCCTGGGTAACGACGTCACTCTGCTGCCACGATCACTCCAAGTAAACCTTCATGAACCCACCTGCTGTTCAAGGCCCTGAAAAGTAAACCTCTACTTGTTGACCCGCTCTTCTTTCTGATTATCCGCTGACTCGCTTGCCTGGCTATGCCAGACCCCCAGGCCAAGACGACAGGGGCCAAGAACTGAGCCCCATGGTCATGGACGAGGGTTCGGGTAGCCGGCACAAGCAGGCAGAAAACCCAGCCCTGGACCTAGAGCAGGCTGAGTCTCAGTTCCTTTTAATAATATCTCTAATCCTAGGGATGTGTTGAGGATTAAATACATAAAGTAAGGAGGGCAATGAAGCTGGCACTCTTACTTTCCCCCAAACTGCAATCTCTTCGGATTCCACCTCGCCTCTGCTTCTCAAACTCATGGATTCTTCAAAAAAAGACATAACCTCTGACAAAAATTGTTTATGAGCTACACATGAGTCCAGTGCTCTTTCTTCCATTTAACTTACACAGGTAGTAATAGGGTTCAGTGTATGTGTTGGGAGTAGTATGTTTCAAAACTGAGTGGCCCCACGGAAGCAGCTCTTTGGGGGTAAATCTTGAGACCCCACTCGGCTCGGCACCAGGCCTCTGCCTGCAGAAGAGCTGGAGGCTCCTGCTCTACCCCAGAGTGCATCTTCCCACTGAAAGCCGGGTGTCAGATGGTGGCGAGACGCAGTTGCCACGCGGCAGAGCCTACCTACTATTTACTTTCTCACTGCTTCTCCTGAGCCACACCTGTTTCGTACACGGTACAGCCTGCCCCAGGGGGGATGTCGGCAAAGAGCACAGGCTCTTGAGCTGGCCTATTGAGCTCGGCTTATTCTCTCCCTAGCAGTGGCCCTGAGGACCCACGGGATCCTGTCCACCAAAGGTTCCACATCTGTAGAGTGGATCAGAGCAGAACTGGGCAGGTGATGGGAAGCTTTGCTCGGAGCCTGAACCCCAGAAGTGGCACTTCTCTCACAGTCCTATCCTTTAAGGCCATCTGTCAATAGGTTAGAGGAAAGAGGCTTCACCGTGAAAGCTAGGTTCCCAGGTACTAAGAAGAGTCAAGGTGTGGAATCGCTGCTTCAGTTCTCTCTTACAGACAAAATCTGCTCCGATTCCTGCTGCTTTTACCTGAGTTTGAAACTAGTTTTGCTTCTATTTGGTTTTTAAATAAAATGGATGGGTTGAGCATAGATGCC